CACACAGACCTTGCCTTTTAAAATTATTCAAAACTGAACAAACGAAGAATAAAATGCATAAGCAGAGTCTGCTTTCAAGTTGCTGAAATGATGTGCATAAAATTGACTTTTCCTGTTATCTCATCATCTGGCTGTACTGTCATTGTACAATTTACTTCAGATTTACCAGAATTATCTGATATGAGGACATGCTTGTGGACATAAAGTGTATCTCCACAGGGTAAGGGCCCATTCACACCGGGAAGAGATTCAATTTGCATAATAACATTACCCCCTAAATAAAAAAACTGTACTGGAACGCATCACAAACGCACTGCACAGCATTTGCAGAAACACGTGCAGATCTGGTCCGAACATGGTGTGGCAAGGCCCTTAATGCAAAAGCTTAGATGAGCTCAAAAAACATCTGAAAAATAATGCCTACATGTCCATTTGGTCTCTGATGTCTATGGGCAGCTCAACATCTTTTAACAAGTTGTTCTCTTTACAACCAGTGGCATGATCAGCGTGGCTATATATGAAGCCATTTCTTAAAGCAGTAGAAGTAAATACACTATATTACCAAAAGTATTGGGACGCACATGAACTTTAATGGCATCTTAGTCTTAGTCCGTAGGGTTCAATATTGAGTTGGCCCACCCTTTGCAGCTATAACAGCTTCAACTCTTCTGGGAAGGCTGTCCAGAAGGTTTAGGAGTGTGTCTATGGGAATGTTTGACCCATCTTCCAGAAGCGCATTTGTGAGATCAGGTACTGATGTTGGACGAGAAGGCCTGGCTCGCAGTCTCCACTCTAATTCATCCCAAAGATGTTCTATCGCGTTGAGGTTAGGATTCTGTGCAGTCCAGTCAAGTTCTTCTACCCCAAACTCGCTCATCCATGTCTTTATGGACCTTGCTTTGTGCACTGGTGCGCAGTCATGTTGGAACAGGAAGGGGCCATTCCCAAACTGTTCCCACAAAGTTGGGAGCATGAAATTGTCCAAAATGTCTTGGTATGCTGATGCCTTAAGAGTTCCCTTCACTGGAACTTAGGGGCCAAGCCCAACCCCTGAAAAACAACCCCACACCATAATTCCCCCTCCACCAAACTTTACACTTGGCACAATGCAGTCAGACAAGTACCATTCTCCTGGCAACTGCTAAACCCAGACACGTCCATCAGATTGCCTGACAGAGAAGCGTGATGCGTCACTCCAGAGAACACGTCTCCACTTCTCTAGAGACCAGTGACAGCGTGCTTTACACCACTGCATTTGCATTGCACTTGGTGATGTAAGGCTTGGATGCAGCTGCTCGGCCATGGAAACCAATTCCATGAAGCTCTCTACACACTGTTGTTGTGCCAATATGAAGGTCACATGAAGTTTGGAGGTCTGTAGCTATTGACTCTGCAGACAGTTGGCGTCTTCTGCGCACTGTGCGCTTCAGCATGCGCTGACCCCACTCTGTCATTTTACATTGCCTACCACTTCATGGTGGAGTTGCTGTTGTTCCCAGTTGCTTCCACTTTGTTATAATACCACTAACAGTTGACCGTGGAATATTTAGTAGCAAGGAAATTTCACGGATGGACTTATTACTCAGTTGGCAACCTATCACAGTACCACGCTTGAATTCACCGAGCTCCTGAGAGAGACCCATTCTTTCACAAATGTTTGTAGAAGCAGTCTACATGCCTAGGTGCTTGATTTTATACACCTGTGGCCATGGAGGTGATTGGAACACCTGAATCCAATGATTTGGAGGGGTGTCCAAATACTTTTGGCAATATAGTGTATATTTGCTGGCATCAAATAATAATATTAATCCCTCCACTACATACGGTATTTGAAATACTTGGCAAAAGACAACTTTCAGTTTTGCTGATAATATTATTCTTAAATATAAACTGTTTTGTCTACCTTTGCACTTTCTGTTAACAATAATGGTAATAATTATAACAACACAACAACAATAATAAAACGTACATTTACCTCTATGGGGAACACAAGCTGCAATGGACACTAGTTAGTGATTAGCACATGTGTATTCCTGTAGTGAATGCGGCAGCTTCCCCACAGAGGTATGTGTAGTGAGTGCAGGAATTAGGCATAAAGTAACTAGTTGCTGCTTTAGTAACTAAAGCTGTTTCCAGGTAGTAGGCCTGGATCCACAGTGCAAAGGTGCAATATAATGCTGATGTAATATTCATTAATGCAAGCCCACAAGTGGTTTTTGCATACAAAATTGGTTTTGGTTGAATTACGTACAGATTCTACAGTTTCGTGTTGAGAAAATCCAACAGGTGCAATACCATAGATGGATACAGTCAGGATTGTTATGAGCAGATGTACAACTGTGATCCAGTAAGTGAAGAATGGCCTGGAAAGAACACATCAACACGTATAAACATGTATAAAAAGAAATAAAAGTCCAATATTCTATACTTCCTAAGCCATAACTACACAGCTTATTTTCTACAGTATAATTTATAAACAGGGTTATACAGATATACCAGTTAACTGATATCTTTTTCACTTTATACAATAAAAAAGTTCAAAAAATAAAACAAAAATAAATAAGTTAATACTAAGGCAAAGTTATAAACAAAATGTACAACTAATTTGTTGTTATTCAGTTAGTAAATTGAATTAAACTGTACGTACCGGTGGTCGTCCATATCTTCTATTTGTCTTTTTACGTAGCTGTCTATCCTTTTACGATATGTTCTGTTTGTTAACCTTCCCACCATCCCAAGACCATATGGCCTTTTTTCTTTTGCAAACAGTTTCTTTACCGGGACAGTAATACGCTGGCCTCTCTTTTGAGGACTGACAGTGACCACTTCTTGACAAAGTCTTATTTTTGGCTGTACAAGGTGTCCCTCTTTTACTTTACGCCAACCTCTTTCTAAAGGCCTGGAATAAGATGGAATTTTTTAATATGCAGATGAAAGACTCCATGGACTCACATTTACTTAATAAACCCTGAAGATTTCCCCAGTTATCTAAGGCAATGCTCAAAGGCTTCACAATCGCTACAAATGTCATAATTGGCAGTTGTTGGTACAGCATTTGTAAGCTCTGTGCAAAGGTTGAAAATGTCACTAAACTCTATCTAGTGTGTCTGGTAGGTAGTAGTTAAAGCCGGTCACTGATTTTACCTGTATTCCTTTAATGGCTTACCCAGCTTATTTCAACTACACAGTAAGATAGGAGTTTATATAGGAAATGTGTGCTAACAAGAACTTGTTTTTTTTTGCCATCTGCAAACGTGCGGTCATTTTCATCCTTTTTGCACAAATGACAGTTTAAAGCTGATTGGATGGAAACGGCAACACAAAATGTTTTGTTACAGCTCTTTTCCTAAATAATTTACATAATGTGTGGCACACATATACATACTTGTTTTCCTTCTCCTCTTACTTGTTACCTGTGCAATACTGCATGATTTGTTGCAATGCGTGATGCAAACAACTCTTTCCAAAAGGTACAGGAGACTTATATACTTTAGTATCCTTGGACCTCAGAAAAGAGGGTACAAATTACATCCATGGTCTTTGAGCCTGGTCCATCCCCCTGGCCTTCGTTTTATTGCAATAATATGATGGATGGCCTCGCCACACAATGCCATGGCATTGATGTTCAATCACCACAAGGGCAACTCTATGTGAAAAACTGGCACTCGCAAGGAGATCCGTCCATCCAGTACTTTATTTGCAAAAAGGCATAACAGCAACAAACAAATGCTAGTCTATGACAGTGTATGCAATGTGCAGACAGTGTGTGTAAGATATAAGGGTAAAAAAGTAGAAAGCATGGGAGGATAGGGCACACTTTTACTAGATGTTATTACTTGGTAATTTTTACTTTTCTTTTTAATGTGGTGACAGGTTCTCTTTATAAAGATGTCAGGAGTCTATTAGACCCCTGATTCGTCTCCTGTGTCAATCAAATACACTTTGGGGACAAAAAGTCCTTGATCTGTATCTGGTCAGGAGAATTAGCACACTGGAGTTAGGAACCCAGGAGTATGTTTGAAGTGTGACTGAGTGCTCTCTAAGGCTAGGTTCAGACCCAGACTCCTAATGGCACCCCAGTCACGCAGAGCTCATTGCATGGTTTCCCGCCACGATTCCATCCATGCAATTGAACATGATCGCGGCGAAAAAAGCCATGCATCGTGTGTCGCAAAAAAAGGTATTTATACCTTTTTTATAGCGATTGCTGCAGGGATGTAACCCCACTGAAATCTGGCTCATGCAGTGTAAATAGTGTGGGGCAGCACAGTGGTGAGCACTTCTGCCTTGCAGCACTGAGGGAGCCGGGTTTAAATCCCGGTCAGGACACTATCTGCAAGGAGTTTGCATGTTCTCCCTGTGCTTGCATGGATTTCCTCCACACCAACAACATGCTGGTAGGATAATTGGCTCCTGTCTAAATCGGCCCTGTATGTATGTAAGATAGGGATCTTTGATGATTTGAATGTTCAACTATGTAAAGCGCTGCGTAAATTGTCAGCACTATATAAATATCTGTAATAAATACATAAATAAACTTGTTTGTGTGCTGTAAGGTTTCAGTACTGCTAACAGTACACAGAAAATATTCTTCTGTAAAATACAGCTGAGAGGGGAGAGTAAACACAAGGAACAAGAGCAAACAGGGAGATGGGAGTATACTCACGAAGTCCCTGTTCACACCTCGGTGTTTTGTTGTGCTGAAGACAAGCGAATGGGATTCCTTGTCTTAAGCATTTTGTCAATGTTTTAGCTTTAAACAACAAAACACCTAGGTGTCTAGGTGTGAGGGGAGCCTTAAAGTGTAATGCTGATTTGGAGCACAATACAGGATATTGTAACTAGTACTAGAGGGGCTATCTCACTCCTGGCACTGATAGCGGGAAGACCTGTGTGTGCTGAAAGAATTATATACTGGCAAGACAAATAGATGTGTTGATGATAGGATCTCATGAATTTGGGGGGTAGAATCCCCCATGTAAGAATGGAAGTAGCATTTAAGTTTAAAAGTGCGACTAAAGCCAAAACTTTTTTATTAGTTTTGGATAGAGTGGATAGGGACTAAAACACCTGTCAGGCTTATACTGCAGTCTGTGTACCCATTAAGCCCCGTTCACATTGAGCGATATCGCGGCAAATTACCGCGCGATATCGCGCTCCAATGCATTTCAATGGGGCAAAGGGTCCTGCTGTCGCGAGTCGTGTGTCTCTACAGCAGGACTCTTTTTGGAGCAGATTTAGCCGCGATTCAAGCTTGCTCAATGCAAGCTTGAACGCGATATCGCGTGACAAATCTCGCGATGTCGCGCAATATGCAAATCGCGCAACAAACGCGCGATTTGCATATCGCGCAGTGGGAACGGGGCCTTAGGGAGATTCACCCCCTCTATTTGTCCTGGGTACTGTTATCACTCAACGTGAAAGAAAATCCCAACTTTAGGATGTCATTAGACCAGAAATAGATAGGAACTCTTCCAAGGGGTGCACTAGTTCTGGTGATCCTGATGACCACCAAAGATTTCCTCTCACGTCCTGTTGTAACTATCAGACAGGAAGTAAAGGGACATCTCGCCAATTGGACTTTGAACACTATATGGCACAGAAAATTTTTAAACCGAAAATAAAAAAATGTCAGGCTGAAACGGAAAATATTTTTTTTTATAACATTTAAAAAATATTTTATTTTTATTTTTATAAACTTTTTAATTTGTTTTATATTTTATTTTTATTTATTTATTTTTGTTAAATATGTATTTATTTATTTTACTGCTGGGGGCTTAAGTGAAATACCAGGGGTCTAAACAGACCCCTAACATTTCCCTTTTAAAATAGGAAAAGAGATTGAGTCCATTATCTCTTTTTCTGCATCCCCGATTATAAATGAACAGGAAGTTCTGTGTGTTCCTGAGTTACTATGTACACAATTATGAATAAACAGGAAGTGATGTAGATCACTTCCTATTCATTCATAACTGGTACATAGTAACTCATACTATGTCCAGTTATTTACAAACAGTCAGCGATCACTGGTGTAAGAGCTGAGCCAGCGGTGCGGGGAGGAGAGCTCAGTCTATTTTGACAGCTGACTCCTTCCCCTCACTGCCGGCTCGGGCTCCGGTGACAGCGCATGGCTGTCTCTGCCCCCACAACACTCTCCATCCTGATCGGTCAGAGAAGGCTGAGTGCGGGGAGAGAGCTCCTCTTGTGACACACCGAGTGTTCACAGCAGTCTCCTCCCTCGCACCGCCCGGTCTCCTATGACACTTTCTCTTGTCCCCACTGGACGCTGCACTGTGTCAGACACAGAGCAGCACCCTGCGGGGAGGAGAAAAACTATGCAACCTCTGAGAGTTTCTCTCCTCCATCGGTCGATATGTTTTGGCGGCTCAAATTTCAGTTCATCCCTAGTTATAACCCTTCCTTACTCTATGCAAAATAATAAAACATTTTGGCTTTATTTCTACTTTTATATAGGATATGCTGTATATCAATTTAAAAAACAACAACAAAGGGGAATCAACAATTCCTCTTGTAGTTTCTGTAAATTAGTTGACCACCTACAGCATCAAATGACTTTTTTCTAATTCACTTTTGTCCAAGGCACTCCCTGTATGTTCCACAGCATCTTCTGCTTTTGCTGTATTATCAGCCTCTTTGATGTCTGCCTCTGAAGGAGATTCAAACACTTCATCAGGGTAACTTGACATATCTTCATGAAGAGCCCCTTCCTGATTGTAAAATAACAAAATATTTATAATGATAAAACAGAGCAAAAATCTAAATACTTCTTATAACTAACATTCTTATTGGTTTTGGAAAATGATACCGACTGCAATTTGTATTATACAGATAAACTATAACAACAATGAATTAAAAATAACTTGTGTAGTAATCTATTTTTTGAGTGGTTCTAACTGATTTTGAAGTAGTCCCTAAATTAAAAAAATAAGGGTTCTCCAGACAGACTGAGTGGCAGTTCTGTCTGGATTGCGACTGCCTACCTGTACTGGGTTATGGCTGGCTGACGGTGGATACACTGGCCTCCGAGGCCGGTGCATCCACTGCCAGCCATAATCCAGCACAGGCCCCCCTCCACTTTAGTCATTGGTTGCTGGGACCGCTGGCTTCCTAGCAACCAATGATGTCAGGCAGACAGGGCCAGTTTGTCAACTACAAGTGATCTGGACGGCTGTACAACTATTACAGCTATTGTGCGCCCTCCTCTGTGGGGCCCAGGGCCATGGCACACAATGTATGGCTGGAGAGCGGAAGCAGACTGGGAAACGTCTGTTCCCTGATCTGCTCTGAGATCACTGAAGCATGAAGCGTTGCTCCCAGCGTTTGCTGCATCAGAACTGTCAGAAGCCGGCGGAAGTGTCGGGTAAACAGAAGATGAATCACATTCCTGAGCTTCATTGTCTCTGTTGGAGGTACAGGGGAGATATCAGAAGCCTAATAGACCCCTGATGTCTCTTCATAAAGAGAACCTGTTACCTCCAAATGGTGTCACATAGGGGCTTGTAATCCTCTTTGTGACAGCAAAAGTTAAGTGAAAGAAAATGTAAAAAATAATAAAATAAATAAAGATGAAAGAAAATAAAAAGGTGATAAAAAAAGTAAAAAATTATTTTAAAAATCCAATAAAAGAGATAAGTAAAAAATATTATAAAAACAAATAAAAAAGAAATACGTAAAAAAAAAGAAAGAAATAAAAATAACAAAAAAAATTAAAACCAACTCTGCCACCCCCACCATCTGATGGTCTAAGACATGCATGTGTATGTAAATGGTAAAGGGGGAGTTCTAACAAAAAATAAATAAATAAAAAGTACAGTGTGCCAGGATCAACACATCAGCACTGTGCCTGGGAACATACACACCAGCCGCTATGCATTGTAGGACAGCTGCTGGTTTGAATGCCTCCTAAATAGCGAACACATTCTGTCTGGATCACGATTTGAACCTCTACTCGATGAAAATGTTACTCACCGAACCTCCTTGTATTTTATTTACTACCTCTGTGATAGATTTTATCTACATTGCCAATATAAATAAGAGTAAAGGTATAGGTCCAATTGATGCTTAAATTTTGACACATCTGTGTTTCAAAAGGAGTAAATCCTTCTACTTCTATACAATTGAATAAACAATTAAGATTAGTTCTCACCCTTGCAAAAAATGATGTGTCCAGTTCATCAGGAAAATCCATGGTGTCTTCTTCTAGAAAACTAACCGGAGTGAAGCTCCGCCTGTGTACCCTTCGTAACGTACCTTCCCTTAGTGATCGACCCTACAATGACAAGTTCTTTAGTGTTTTAAATAGATAAAAGCCACCTCTTGCACATATATTTCTCAGCTCTTGCAGCCTACTAGCAGCTTACATCTTCACCAGCACTTCCCTTCCTCTCCTTTATGGAGGCAGGTGTTCTGTTTCTAGGAATGTAGCTACACCATCTCCTTGCAATTATATGGTACAATGGAAAGAGTACACTGCAGTACAATTCTAATATCATCCATACCAAGTTAACAGACCCAAGGTCAGGTCACCTTAAAACAAATATTTCAGTTATAAGTGGAGACTTGGTAAACTGAGTCATTGCCAAGCCTCTTTTATCTTTTGTAGAGTCCAGCAACGAGATCTCCCTATTATAGTTCCAGGACCACTGCCCACCCATGCCACATTTGCATACTTCATGATATAATAAAAATCCAAGATTCAAGCGCAACAAATCCAGCAGCGCTTGATTCCTAAAGTTGAATGCAAAGCAAAACAACTTTTTCTGGTTCTTGTGTAATAAATTGGGGATATTTATTTACCTTGGGATTCAGTTTGGGAGAGTTTCACCCACACCCTATACAGTAAAAACTGATATTTTAGATAAGCATCATCATCAAGTGTCATCTCACAAATACCTGCCACATTCTTTAAAAACAAATCACCAGAGAGTGTAGAACCCAGAAATGTTGTACAACTAGCTCACCAACTGATGTTACTTAAGAAAATATGAAGAAAGAAAATAGAAAATATGCTTCTGCACTGTGCTGGAGCATCTTCTGGTGAGATTCATGAGGGGTACTCAGCGTTTACCGGATCTTGCAGAAAGAATGGTGATGTCACCCTCTGCTGTATGGAAACTAGAGTAAAGTAAGTATATTTACTAGCCTTTCTTCCTTCACAGGAAAGGCATGAAAGGCTTGGCAGTGCAAGTTTTGCTTTAAGCAGGAGATACTGGAAGCTCAGCTGAAAGCAAAAGCCACAAAATTGCAATCTTCCAATGGTATACTGCATGACGCATACTTTTATTAAAAACAGCTAAATTGCACTTAGAGGAGAATTATGGGGAGAGTGAATTACACTCATCCCATAACTAGAGCTGACATGTGACACTGAAGCTGTCACATTTCGGATCTATTGATTGGGAGCTGAGCGATAACATACTGTAGATCGCTCAGTTCCCGACCATCTCCCTGCACTGTCAGTCACTGCTCCCAGCATGGATGCATGGTTTCCCCCGCCCTCTCCGTTCCTGCAGCGCTGACTGGAGGGACAGATGGGGGGATGGGAAACAGCTGGCTCTGCCTCTAGAGAGGCAGAGCCAGCTGTCAATCAGGCAGCGGGGTGGATCCAGACAATATTGTTGGGATCCGTCCCGGCTGCAGGGCAGCTCTTCATTGTCAGCATATAGAGGGCAATAGCCCACTATATGCTGAGTTTTGACTCACAGAGGGACATTAGTATATATCCTCCTGTGACCCTATAGAGAACTATGGCAAAAAAAGGTTGGGCCATAGTTCTCTTTTAAGGAGAAAGCAGTCTTTTGATTATAAACAGTCTAAAGAAACGATCAGAGATAGAGTTTAAATCCTAAATGTGTAAGTGGTGACAATGGGGTTGGTTTACTAAACGGAAATAAGCTGTATACTTTGCAAGGGCAGAGAGGCTGGAAATTGTATCGCCCGATGCCCAGGACATGCAGTTCCAGGCACCAGGAAGGTGTTTTTTTTTTGAACATTTAGCCGCGGTTACTGCAGCCGTTACTCTCTATTGTCATTAGACAGTGGAGAGCCACAGCTTTACACACACACATCTGCAGAGACCGGCTCTGTGTCCTGTGATCGCTGTGATTGGTTATCACAGCGATCACATGACAATGTTTACATTGCCAAGCCCTCCCCTTCCTCTTACATCAGAGGTAGGGGAGAGTGCAGGAACTAATGAATGATTGAGTCATCTATTCATTAGTTCCTGGTGAAACAAAGTGCAGCAGCAGCAGCAAAAATAAAAAATAAAGTTTCATATACATTTAACCCTTTCAGCCCCCCACCTTGCCTGCTTATGTTATCTGCACCCGGACCTGTATATTAACCCTTTCACTTCTCTTATCCTGCACATCTATACATTAACCCCTCCATCTCCATCCTCCCACTGGATGTGACCTGTACATAAACCCCTTCAGCCCCTCCTCCCTTTTTGTATGAGCCTATACCGGCTGTTTAAGCTCACTATCTCCATGTGTTTGTTGATTGAATTCAAGTATTTTTAGGTCTGTCTTCTAAGTTGCTATCTATAAAGACCTTACTTAAATAAGTACAAGTAGATTGTACTTAGCACAGTAGATTGTCATTAAGGGACAAGAAGATTCTGCCCCCGCTTTAGTCATTAAACAAGTAGTTTTAAAAAAAATGTCAACACCCCTGAAGGGAATTTTCCCTATTTTTGCTTGCATATGATTGGATGATGGAAGTCAGCAGAGCTTCAGCTCATTCACTAAGCTAAGGAAATAGTCCATTGTAAAGAGAAAATTAAACTGCAAAGTGAATAGCCTATTTGCCTTTAGTAAAGCAACCCCAATGGGAGAAAAGTGATTGATTTGGGCTAACTTGTCCTGATACCAAGATGGAGAGGGTCCAGATTTTCCATCTGTTTAAATACTGGCCAGGAGAGGGAGCTGGAAAGTGGATTGGAATGATCACTCCACCAAGTTTTTCAAAATACAAGGCTCAATTTGCTCCTGTAAGAGCATTTTTAGCTGTGCTTTATTTAACAAATTTAACATTTAATTCACTTTGGTGTACAGTGTCAGTGTCTTTTTATTGCAGTGTGGCATTGCCAAACTCTTCCAAACATTGGCCAATCAGCTCAGTACATATGCCCGTGATTGCTGTATGTGGGCTCATGTTGCTCTGGTTTGAGCAGGGCATACAACTAGCTACTGAAAAACACTGCTCCTACCAGCATCCTTCTGTTCCCACCTGGATAGCATTGTAAGTGCAGAGGAGGTAAACATTTGCAGTTATGAATCCAGCACCCTTTTCTAAAATCCCTAACAGAGCCTTCAAGGCGGATGCCTACTTAATAGATGGTTCTCCTTAACACTTAACGGTGTATTTATAAGCAATTCACAGAGCCATTCACCCTGAGAATCCTTGTGAACTTTCATCGTGTGCAAATAGAGGCAAAAACTAAAGTTCTCCAAATATTTTATTTCCAGGTCGAAAAAAACCATATACTCAGATTGTACACATTTGCCTCTATTCGCACACAACACATGTTCAGAGATTCACAGGCTGAAAGGCCCTGCATTTTTTTATAAATAGACCCCTAAGTAAGAAGTTTTAATTTAAAGTAATTATTTAGAGACCTAGTGGAGGATTAAACTGTGTTAGAGTGGTGGAGTTCAGATTCAAATAAACTGGTAAGATCAAAAGGAGACCAATCAACAAGCAAAAAAGCAAGTGTAATAGGGTTATGTTTTCTAATGATATATGTTGATATGCTTTATTAGATTACACTCATCTAACACAGTAAGGATACTTCACACAAGGATATAAAAACATGGATAATTCAGACAAGACATTACAGTGCTAAAAAGCATATTAAGAACATCTTACTGCTATTACTTGAGACGCATAGAACTTGCGGATATATCACAAAACATATTGGATCTTACCTTCACAAGTGCTGCTGCGGCTCTAAAGCTCATTTTTGCCACAGACTCTTTTTTCCGTCTTCTGGGAAATCGACTGAATCCAGATCTTGAGCTAGTAAATGAGCAGAGAGAAGTTGCCCCTGGTGTAATAGGTGTATGGGGCATACTGTAGCCATCCATGTCTTCTACCATTCGAAAGGCGCGTCCTCGAGCCAGTGGATCTATAATCTATATATATTGACATGAGTATTAAATCTATAATATAATAAAAGCAATTCTGTAAACAGAGCTCTGATAGTTTTTCTTAATAAAAAGTGAGGAATGAGGGTAGATGTACACATACATAGCCATACATGGGCAGCAAAACCCATTACCAGTCCTGCTTTGTATTAGTGGCTTCCCATCAATAGCTGTATAGTGTGGGTTTAATAAATACATTAGAGTGGGTTTCTTCCCTTAATGCAAATACAGTATGCTAAATGAATTACCCAAATGGTCCTTGAGGGATCTCTTTAAGAGACCCTGTCATGAAAAAATATTATCAAAAACTTTGTTATAGTTACAGAAGTGAGAATACACAGAAATAATTGTCGATGGATAATTGTAGGCATCACTATTATCACAAACTTAAAAAGTATTTTTACACTTTTCAGTGGACTGCACTGCTTCTGCTTTGTATGAGTTTTTGCCATTTTCCATATTCACTGTTTTCTTAGGTATACATTAGTGCACTACTGTATTACTGCATGATTGCATTCTGGTTTAAACAGCCCCGATGCTGGCGACGTACACTGTACGTCGTCAGTCACGAAGGGGTTAATTTAGCATTGTGTATTTATTATTATCATTCATGTCCTTTTTGGGATACTGCGCAGCTGCTTAGTTTTAGTTTCTCTCACTTTCAGTTTTTATTATTTTTTTTAGTGTTTAGACTGACTGCAGAGTATATACATGTGATATATTTAAAAACTAACACTGATCATTTTTTTTTTTCATAACTAGGCATTAGAGAAGCGTTTTTAACGCCTCTCTGCCACCTAATAAGGCCCATGTTGGATAAAGCACTAGCAACCTCCCAGTGCTGCTCACACATGGGCATTAGCATTGTGATGTGTTGTTGTGTATCAAAAAGTAGAGTGCATGTCACATTCTGGGGGCATTGCTGCTGGAGAAATGCCTCTATTGAAGTATATTGAAACGCCCTTTAAATGCTCGGTCAATGCTCCTATTTAATTTTTCAGGCATTTAAGAAGCGTTGCACAAGTGTTGTAGGAGAGGCATAGAAGGTTTTGCAATCCCAGAAACCACTGAGGAATCCGAGAATGAGTGGACAGAGCAGGTGCTGAACACAGTCAGCGTTTTGTGAATGTAACTGCAAGCATTTTTCCAACAAAAGAGGACAGCTTCTAGCCAGAAAAATATGTTGCAAGGCTAATTCAAGCAGTATAGCAACACCCAGAATTGTATGACCCAAGTCTGCCCAGCTACTCTGACTTCTTAAAAAAAAATAAGTGTGGCCACTGCTGGTCACTTCCCTTTACTACATCACTTAGCCTTTTAACACACTTGACTACTTGCAGGACATTTTGCAAGTGTTTTTAACGCCTCCAGGGGGCAGAGGAGGGAGCCGCTTGTCATTCAGCATGGCTGAGTGGGGAGGAGAGAGGAGCCAGCACCTGACAGGATGGCCAAGTGAGGAGGAGAGACAATGTCATCCTGTCAGTTTCAGGATGATAGCATATCTGTGTTTGGCAGAGTGTAAAATATGTGTAATATGTACCGATCCTTCCTGTGCAGCACAAACACTGGAGTGATCGCTGATCACTCCAATGTTTGTAAACAACTTGGGACACATAGTACTATGCGTCCGCAGTATTGAATGAACAGGAAGTGCTTTACATCACTTCCTCTTAATTCATGAGTTTCTGAATGGTTAGAAGCAGGTCAGTGCAGAGGCATCTACTCATTCATAACTGGTTGATAGTAAATATTTACTATCTCCAGCTTGTGAATGAATGGGAAGCCTCTGTACTGAGTGCTTTCCATTCATTCAGCGCTAAGGCTGCAGAAAAAGAGATTGAGGACTCTGTCCTCAATCTCTTTTTCTATTTTGAAAGGAAAATGTCAGGGGTCTGTTTAGACCCCTGATATTTTGCCAAAGCCCCACCCAACAGTAAAAAAACACCCCCCCACATATATTATACGCGTGCACCATATTATGGTGTACACCATGCACATGCTCTGTGGTGCATTGTTGATCAGACATCAGTGCTTAATTTTTTCTTTTCAAAATAACATGAATTTGCCTGTGTGGTAGCACATGGCAAAGCGTTGTGATACGCTTTGTTGTGATTAAATGTATGCCTGCATCATTTTATCATCCTACACACTCCAACACAGCACACAAACAATTTTTAACATAAGTTGCTTATTTACAGTTTTGCGTTACTTAATTTTTTTACCGTTTCTCAAAAAGGCGCAATTAAAATTTTTTTGTTATTTCTTAACTCAATAAAGTTATATCTTTTGAAATTTAGTCAGGAAATATTTTTTTGTGTGAACTGATACTGATTTTAGTGTGCTTTTTATCAATTTAATTGTGTATTTTTATTGGTTTAATATTGATTTGATAAATGTTTGTGCAATTATCACAAATTTAGTAGCACCATCTTTTTATTCTACCAGCCCTGTGCTTTCAGAAAATATATGGTTTGGGGGGGTTCTTTTACAAACGCTAAAAGCTGCAGTTGAAAATTTAAAAAAAGGTGAAAAATTGCAAAAATGGTTTGGCCAGCTGAGGTTAAATGCGTTCTGGAGGGCTTGACAGCGAAAGGGTTAAAGGGACAATAGACAGACTTCACCTGCCAATATCTCTATTGTGTCATGTAGTTTACATTGAAGGTGATTTCTGTTTATGCTAATTATGTCATGCTAACTGTTCTAAATGACCCTATTGTGTGGTTTACATTAAGTGAAGGCAAACAGAAATAAGAACCTCAATTTTTTTTAAAAGGTTATATTCAAGGAAAAGGCAGGATGTTAACTCTGGGAGTCTGTAAAAAAAAAAATACCTTTTGCATATTAAACTGAGCTGATCCCACATAAAGAGGTGGCGGTGTTTCTGTACTTGTTAGAGATATGTTGTCTTGGCTGGGGAGATCCATTTCTCGGATAACTTGTGGTTTCAACTTTCCATATCTCTGGCTGCAATGTCTAAGGCTCTTCCTTTGCCACTTGTGAGATGAATCGCTGTCTTTACTTACTCCAAACCAGTCAGCAGTGCCCCTGGCAAAACACAGGTTAGACATTCATAATAAAAGAATCATTTGAATTGCGTTAAGGACACTTTTATTTTCACCTTCTCCATGTGACGTCCTTTGAAATCGTAGAACAGGAATCATGACAATGTAATACAGAAGACAAAAGCTGAAGCATATGTGAATACAAAACTATAAGCAGGAATGCAAATATTATAGTGTTATAATGAGAGAAAATTAAAGTGGAACTCCAGAAAATAACTAAATATACAGTTCAGCTATATATGTTTACTGTTCACTCCCTAATGGATTTGCAATTTTGGGCAGCTATTCTTATGATACACACAATTTTAGGTGTTAAAGTGTACATGTGCCCACACCATAAATATTAAACTATTTACTTAGTATCAACAACCAGTAAAGTAGCTTTTAAAGCAAGCCCTTATCTCAAATTCCCAATCACAAAGATCATAGCAAAGATACTGAAGCTGGGTTTCAGGGTTAGTTCACACCAGAACTGCGTGTGTCTACACAGCTGCAGTGCGAGACGTTTTGCCGCGATTTTACAGCAATTTTCCCGCGATTGACGCATATCACTAGAACAATAGTGAGGGGAAATTTTCAGACAGCAATACATACCGGACCGAGCAATAAATATTTCCCCACACTATCAGAAAAAACAAATGATGTTTTGTTTGGAGTTACACGGTAAACATGGCTAGGAGAAATGTTTAATCATCGGACAAAAGCATTTATAGGGGATTACCTTAAAGAGGAACTCCAGGTTGTAGAAAAATTAACCCTTGCAGTGAGGCTATCCCCACACTGCAAGGGTTAACTGCTCCTTTTCTCTAGGGGCAATAAAAAAGAGGAAATACTCACCCAATCCTCTCATGTTTCTATTTATGAAAATAGATTAGGGCCACGTTAACATGTGCATTTCACAGCATGTTAGCATAATTCTAAGTGAGCGCTAATGTATTTTTCATTTTGAATGGCGCCCCAATGCACCTTGTCAGCACACTGCAATGCTTGTGCTTACCACACCACAAAACACAGATGTGGACCATGAAGAAAAATACTGCAGGTACTATCAAAACCTGAATATACCTGCAGGTCTATCAAAAGCCTTACCGAAACACATTAATGTGCTAAAAACCCATGTCAACATGTGTGTGATAATACACTGCCTCACAGTGCAAAGGTCTGAATAGACCCTTAGGGGTCTATTTATAAATGTTTTACACAATATTCACATAACGATTAACCAGGATTCACGCGATTTCTAACTGGATTTCATTGGGAAAATGTGTGAGCCCTGGGTAAAAGTTGTGTGAATCTTGGGTGAAAACATACATATAAAAAGACTCCTCAACGATTTTATCAAGATATACAATAATCATGAAGCAAGCATACCCTCATTCTGCATATAACTTACTTCTTATGCTTGACATAACTAACAAATTATGTTGCTTAAAGTAGAAATAAATACATAATTACTATTTTACTTTGCAAAGAGTGTACATTTTGTCCAGCCATCCTTATAAAACATATACCTTGTTGGTCAGTCAGGTCACTAATGCTACTTCCTGATTTTGTATTCAATATCTTTTTATTAAAGATTTCAACAATTACATATAAAAAAAGGACAAAAAAAAGGAAATCGAAATGTATCTCAAAGTAAACAGGAGGTAAGAGAAGGTAAGGTATTCAGCACTTTAAAGTGACACTAAACTCAAGAGGTAATGTATTCATGTACCTTGTAGTAGATGCATTTTTAAGATTTAACTCCTGAGTTTAGTATCACTTTACGCATTGAGCACATAAAAATTGCCCTTCAAGATTTATATAAGTAAAAAAAGCGAAAGGAAATTCACCAAACCTTCCTGAAAGAGAGGACAGAGGGAGAAAGGAGGAAAGAATAAGAGAATAAGAGGAAACATAACAAAGAGACTCTCGAGCCAGCACCAACAAGGCATCGCCCAAGAATTACCACAGCCATAGGTAAATAAACCATATGCAAATGAAAACTATAATAGTGACATTTCGGAGAGTCAGATAGAAGCCCTTAGAGACTGGGGTGTCAAAATGCTCTCTGCTTCTTCCTAGTTTGGTGTTACTGCTTCATGGGTATGTTAAAGGGCCTGTGTCAACAGGTTTTTGTTTGCCTTTAACAGGTTTTGCATTCTCATAGTGAAATTAAAAACACGCTTGAAGTAGGTGAAATGCAGATCAGAAAGAGATCGGCTGCAGGTCAAAAACACCTGTCATTTCATTCTGAATGATCTCAGAAATGTCTCAAATTGATGCCATCGAAAGAAGCTCAAAGTTGTCATTATCCAATGAGGAGCCTGGAGAAATGACATAGGTAGCTGAACTGCTAAACCAGGAAGATGAATTGCTTCATCAGGAACTAACAGTACCACCTGTCTGATTGTGTAGTGTGGAAAATGATTATATCATAAGATTGGCTGCACAGAATTAAAAATCCTTTAGCACAGCCTTGCTCAACCAGGGTGGCCTGGTGGTGCCTTCTAGCTTCTTCAGGAGTGCCTCAAAATTTTCACACAGCATCATATCTTTCCATGGTGCAGGAAAGCTTCTGATGTGAAGGGTGGCTCTGATGTAAAGGAGGATTCCTGATATAAAAGGTGAAGGGGGATCTATATGGGATAATGGTCTGGTATGGATTTTGGAGGAGCCACACATTGCTTTTTACATTTATACATGTACGTTTTTTTACATTTCAGACTGGGGTGCCTTAAGATTTTGCATAACTTTACCCCATTTGTGGCCACGGACGTATCTCGTATACCATTGACAGCACGGCCTGTAAACACACTTCTGACAGATGACTTTGTTTATCTTTGTAAAGCCGGCTGCCGGCTTTAAGACCAAAGCGATTTTCGCTGCTCAGCAGCCCCCAGATGGCTTCTATGGGTCGGTAAAGTGCCCGCCCCCCCAAACCAACACCCCCGGCGTGTTTCCCGGGCTCCGCGCTCCTTCTGCGGGCCTGGGACCAGCTGTTCAGGTGCCGGCAGGAAGCTGGGAAGGAGAGTGGTGATCTTCCATTCACCAATCTCCTCCCCACTCTATGGGACTTGGAGCGACTTGGGTTGCATCACTTCCAGTCCCTGAGCTGTCATTGCAGAATTATTTCTAAAAAGAAGACTCAATATAATACATTTACAGATACAGAGTATTTTAAATACATATTTTTAAGTGGGCTTATACTCTGAAATTAATTTAAGGTATAGATAATGTGGTTTTGAGATAAGATCAGCACTGGGTCATATGACCAGTGCCAAAGCATTAGTTACATGATCTCTGCTAATATGTACTACATCTATGAAGTCACTGATTGTCTGGCTCTACCTCAACATCAGTTAAACAAAGGCCACATAACCAACATTTTAGCACATGACTTAGCAGAAACCCTATTCTGGAATCACTTTTTTTTTCTTAGCCTATTTGTAGTCCTTTAGTTATTTATTACAGCATAGGGGTAAAATATTTATTAAAGTGTAAATGAACTGTAGATCATCTTTAACTACTTCAAGATGGCACACCAATAGAAACTATATTGCCTATAACTACTGTATATTACTCACATATCCAACATCCATGGGAGATATCTTTAACTAATTTGTGAAAATAAGGTTGACTAATCATCGTGACGATTTTCCCATTGAAGCAAACCCAGTAGATGACTTCATATCAAGGAAGCCCACAACATCCCTTAATGACTTAACTATGATCTTTACTAGATATGGAGAAGCCAGCATGGCTCTGAAAGAGACTTTACTTATTGAATATATCACCTGAACAGATCATCTCCCCATAAAATTGAGGTCAATGACCACTTCAAATCCACACTTACTCACTTATGGCACCCTATAACATTTTCAATGGTGCAGCCAAAATATGTCCAACAAACAGCTTTCGCCCTAAAATTATTATTTGCAAAATATGATGTTAATTAAATGAAGTACTATACCTTATAAAATGCCCATAAGGTGTTTAAGAGAGGCATCTTGCTAACATTAATAAATGCACAAGGAAGCAGAAGATAAGCCAAATAGATCATTTACTGCACAGCATTAAAACAAATGAGGAACAGATGTTATTTATAACTCATCCCATAAAGATTGGGTTCAATTGGAACTCTCCTTATTGAGGCTGCCGATCACCTCCCTCTGCTGGATTGCCCCCTCCTCCAGATCCTGGCATCTCTATCTACCATTTGCAGTGCCTCCCCTTCTTTCTGTTTGGGACAGGTTGGTTAAATACAAACACATATCAACTCATGACGGTCCTATGACCCCTATCCTGCTCAATCCTAACTTCCCCCCGGGATGTTCCAGGCCTTCCTTCCTACAATGGTCCACTAGCGCTCCTGCATATCTATCCTCAGCTCTCACCCCCTCAGGTGTGAAACCGTTGATCTCCCTCACCGTACCAGAAGAAAGACGACCTGGTAACTGGCTGAGCTACTTCCAACTTAGAGACTTCTACCTCTATCTGCAAACACTCCGACCCGCACAGAACCCTCATGGATTTTGAATCAATCTGTACTCAAACCTCGGGCCCCCTTCACACGATATCTACCCTATACAAACTGATTCTGACGCTCACAGAGGATGCTGTCCCACCCTTCATGCAGGCATGGGAAAGAGACCTCGGCTGCTCCTTCTCTGAGCACGATAAACTCAAAGCCTACTCTCTGACCCACAAACTCTCTATGTCCAGCTCAACTCAGGAATGCAGTTACAAATTACTCACTAGATGGTATAGATGTCCGCACCTCCTACACAAATTTTCCCCTGCCGTTTCTGATACCTGCTGGCGTTGCAACTCGGCAGTGGGGACTATGCTGCATGTATGATGGGACTGTGTCAAGTTACGACCCTTCTGGACCAAGGTGTTCGATACTTACCACAAGGTAACGGCTAGTGATCCACTACGTACTCCTCCGGCTGCGCTCCTTTCTATTCTCCCGGGATCATTTGAATCCATAAAAAAGGACCT